TCATAGAACAACTTCTGGAGTCAGTTTTCCCATTTGCACCATGTGGACCCTAGGGATTAAACTCAAGTCATCAAGTTTGGCAGCAGGCACCTTTCCTGCTAAGCTAGCTTACCATATCCCTAGAAGTATTTTTAGAAGTATAGTATAAAAATATGGTCACCTGGAATGGGTATGTGATCCACACCTATAAATTAATTTCTGAGGGCAGAGAGAGGGAAAGAGAATGAGAATTAAAAGCTTCTCCAGGGATAACTCCTTCCTTTGAAATCTAAGACCAAGGGGACAGACTTAAAACATATGTGTGTGTGTGTGTGTGTGTGTGTGTGTTTTACATATATGAGAGAGCAAAAGTAAATTGTTTAATTTGCTTGCTTATAAATAAAACACAATAATAATTAAATAAAAGGGGACCATGATTTAAAGAGGGAGTGGTAGGGGTGAGATATGGAAGGGTTTGAAGGGTGGAAAAAAATGATTTTAGTAACACAATTAAATTAACAATCTAAATATTTAAATATATTCAATAATACGTTTCTAATAAAAAATATTTTAAATACAAAAAAAGTACACAAATTATAAAAATGGTCATGGGATTTCTCAAGGGTTTGTAGTTAAAAACCTAAGAAGGAGACAAAGAACTTTGCCTTTGGAAAAAAGGCACAGTACACCATGTTGCATTTTGTACCTGATCACAGAACAATCCCTGAAGGTTAAGTAATGTGCAGAACAACCGTAATTACACACACTCCATCATAGGAAGTATCATGTTATTCAAAACCCCTTTCCTACAGTGTGAATCATAGGCTGTCAGCATACTGCTTTCCTAGAGAAATTAAAGTGTGAGAATTACCAAGCTTGAATTTGAAAAGAAGTAACTGGAAGGAGGCTGAGGATTACCCAGAGGAGCAGGTAGGACTTTTGACCCTGGTCTAAGAGTCCCTTTCACTAGAGCGTATGTTAATCGCCCCCAGGGTTCCAACTTATACCAGTTCAGGGGCTGGAAAGATGAAACAAGAGGAAAAATGTCACCCATAAAGAAAAACCAGCCTTGATGGGAAGGAAGAGAGACAGGAGGATCCCTGGGAACTTAGCAGGCAGCCAGACATTGGTTAATCAGTGAATTCCAGATTCGATGACAGGCGAATCTGATGAAGTGTTGTCTCTCTCCCAACTGTGGTCACTCCTCCCAATCACTTTCTTTTTGTGTCACAGGGTAACACACCCTGCAACCAATTTCTTATAAGTCGAATTACTGAAAAGACCTTCCTTTATTGCCAACCTGAAAACTCATGTTAAGTATTCGTGATGAGCTTTAAATGCCCCCAATGAAAAAACAGGTAAGAAACATTAACAGACTAAAGGGGACAACTGTCAGGCCTAGACAACTCAGAGAAGAGGTCATTTAAATGTCACCATCACCAAGGTAACAAAAGAAAAGTATCTGTGTTTGAAGTTCACAAAGAGTAAGTGAGACACAGCCAATGAAACACAGAATCCCAAGCCCCCGTGAAAGCTCTGGGAAGGAAAATTAATGCTTCTATAATCTGTGCACAAATGCCAAAATACACTTTTATGTTATTAAATTTTTAATAGTGCCCTCTGTCAATACAATATTGCATAGTCTGACATAAAGTTTATCTACTCATGAGCTGTGTGAAGAACAGAGGCACTTAGAGGCTGGAGAGATAACTCAGTGGTTTCAAAGTGCATACTTCCTGTGTAGGGGATGCAAGCTCAGTTTCTATACCTATATCAGGAGTTCACAACACCTGTAATTCAAGCTCCAGCAGATGTGACTCCCTCTTCTGGACTCTATGGAACCAGTACTACTGTGCACATATTCACCCACACAAAATTAAAAACAATTTAAAAAAATCTTTAGGGAAAAAAAAACCCCTAAAGGTATATTTGAGCATATGCTGTTCATGAGTTCTGTTCAGTGCACGGTAATTATGTCATTTGGTTAAAGATTCACAACTCTATTAGGTGGGTGGTGAGGCAGAAACAAAGATATCAAACACCCTACCAACGGTCACACAACTAGTTGCACAGATCATTCTGCTACTAGGTGTTTCATTACATGTTACTCAGAGTGAAATTTTAAGTATATGTTTCAGAAGGAAAGATATCCAGAAATGTTTAAATCAAACAGAAAATGTATTCACTGAGTTGACGTTTAAAAAATCAAAAACAAAAAAAAGAAAGAAAACCCTACACATACTCCACTCCAACAAGTTTCAGATTGCTTGCCAAAAAGGAAAGAAAAACCCAGCAAATTGATTCCAAGTTGCCTATAATTTCATTTATATTTAGAATATGAGCTGAGCAGTGGATGCAAATGCAATTTAAGAGAGACAGAGTGTATGTGAGAGTATGTGTGTGTGTGTGTGTGTGTGTGTATAACACTCACAGTATTCAAAGCCTCCCCCAAACGTGCAAAGTTTGTTCCAAACCTTCTCTATTTTGTCTACTTTAAGAATTCTTTGCAATATGCTTATGTAAATAGTGCTCTTCACTGCTGTTCCCATCTCCAAAATCTTCTGCTTTTTCATAGACTGGAAAACTGACAGACCTAAGAAGACATCTTTGGAACACAAAACTAGGAAGACATAAACAAATAAAACCAGATCAAAAACAAAGGCTTCTTTAAAATCCTTCAGTAGAACAGGATAGACAGATTCGAAGAACTGGGAGACAAGTACAATGAGCTGGACTGGACCAAGAGTGAGCAAGCGCAGGTACAGATACAAACACACACACACACACACACACACACACACACACACACAATCACGTGCACACAAATACAGACTTCATGATGCACGGATTATGAACAAAGAAAACCAACCGTTTTTCACCTTTGTTTACTAAAATCTGTACTACAGGACATGGGAGGTAACTCCAGTTTCTAGAGAGAGGAGGATACTTGAGCCATGGGAGAGTGTGTAAACAGCACTTCTAATCTGGTAAACCCAAAAGGTGAGGGACTTTAGTCTTTCCAAACCCAACAATTTATGGTTTAATGGTAAGAATTAGTTCATCTGTAGTGATTTCTCCCATCCACATATCAAAAAGTTGTTGAAGGAGATTAATGAGAAAGGAAAAAATTAGTATGGGACTCAACCTAATACTGAGCCTGAGCCTTTTGTACCAATTTAGTGAGAGCCATTCTGATACACTGAGCACAGAGTACAAGGTCACCGTATGTTGGGAGGAGAGAACAAGTACAGAAGTTGCAGATACATTATTTAAAAGCATGAAACTCACCAATATGGACCTAAGTCCCTGGTATTGAGTATTACATGTGATACTGTTGGAATGACACTTGAAACAGAGCCAGGTTTTGATGAGGGCCTGGCAACTCCACCAAGGATTTTGCAGGGTGATAACAGAACAATGCAGTATTGGAAACACATTCTGGGAGGAGGATTTTTATCATAGCTGAGAGCGGAACAGACATCTGGTACTCATCTTCTCCATGTACGCTAATAACATGACAGTTCTTGAGATAAGCAGAGTAAGTTGATTTTACCAAAGCAATTTTAGCAAAATGAAGAAGTTTTAAAGTTAAGCAAAGTTGTTTGAGCATAAAAAAAAATCTCAAATCCTAATTAAGGATTTGTTAATTATAAGATTATCATTAGAAAATAAAGCTAAGCATACATAGAACTAAGGAAATAAAAAACAAAACAAATGTCCATTCTGGAGACAACATTCTTCTTTCTCAGGGCAGTTATACTGCCAATTAAAAAAATTAACAATAGACTGTTCAGACTTTAACTGAACATGGCAAAGGTAGTGGTTTTGGCTTTATTCCTGAAAAGGAGGTGGGGTGAGAAAAGAGCCCAAGCACAGAGGACAGGCACAACAGTCTCCAGATTTTACTTCCAACATCTCAACCCACACCCAGACTGGTGTGAAGAGATGGCAGATGGGACTACGTCTGTTCTTTCAACGGCTGAAGCAAGACGCGGAGAGCATTCTGCTTCTTCTGCAAGCATGAATATTTAGGCTCTGGATGCTAACTATGCTAACTGTGTGATGCAAGTCCAGAGCCATCCTTACCATTCTCCTTGGATGACAGATTAAGACCAAGGTGTGTGGGTGGGTACTTTTTGGTGAAACTTAGGAAAGACTCAATATTTATGAAAACATTGCTGATTTCCAAAATGTAACAGAAATACATTGAGAAAAATGAGTCAGCAGAAGAGAGATGAGCACCTTAAGAGGACAAAGTTAAAAGTAGCTGCCCTGAATTAGTATTTCTTGACCATGTTTCGTAGGATATGTTCAGTCTTAGGTCTTCTAGGATCAAGTGTTCCTTCCAAGCACAATCAAGTTCCTGTAAATACTGCAAAAAACTGTAACACTGCTATGTTATCTTGTGTAAATAATGCTGGTTTGCAATTCTTCCTGACATCTTGAAAAGGAATTCACAAAGGATAATTTTTTTTGTAAAAATTTAATGAAGCAACCATTTTCTGTCTTTGAATGATAGTGTAATATCCCAGAAATATACTTCCTCCATTCCCTCCCCTCCCTTAAGGGCAGACTGTAAGTATGGTAACTGCTGTCATATAAGCTAAATAGGGGATACCAATCAGAGTGTGAGGGAAACACCCCCAAATGTAAGAACAGAAATACAAGTCAAGTCCCTGTGTACATAGAAGCTCTTCAGACAGCTTCAAAGAAGGTACCTCCATATGTAACCTGATTTCCATTAATTATGGAATTGGACTGGCAAGAGCAATCATGTTTCCACAAATTTCCCAAACATGCTAAGTGCCCCAACTAGGCAGGTGCCTCCTGATCCTTAGGGCCCAGCAGGATAAACCTTTGAGAAATAAGACGACTCTCAATGAAAGGGCAGAAATCTGTGTACTCATGAGGAATGGGAGGGAACCCCTGACTGTTTTTTGTTCACACTGTAATGAAGATTTGTTACAGAAGGGGACCGATGGCAACACGAGGCGCGCAGGTGGAGGAGGAGATGAACTTACGAAGTAGCCTGTTCCCAAGCTGGAAGGAGCTGAACTCTGCAAAGAAAGCACAGAGACAGAGTGGGAAAGTCAGTAGCGATTTTTAACAGGCTCCCATCCACACAGCTCATTACCAACCCTTTGTGAGCTTTTCATCCAGACATCACATGCCCGAGCGTGAGGCCCCTTGTCATCTGCTACTGATACACAGAATGTGTTGCTTAATTTCCCCCTTTATATCTCTCAACAACTCAGAGATGCTAACGTGCTATTTACTGGATTCTGAGCTTCTGCGGTGGACGTAATTGCCAATTTATTTGACAGGCAGCTGGGTAATGAATTAATGATGGCATTTCGCCCTGTACTGAGACTAAACAGGCACGTGGCAGCCTGCCTCCCTGACTTCCTGACATTCAAGGCCTGGGTCTCAAGCTATTTGGTTTTGCAGCCGCAGAGAGGCAGGAAAGGGGGAAAAGTCCAGGCTGACTTGAAAATAAAAATCCCAATGGATTTGGATGACTTTTTGGTATATGACCTACTTGTCAGTTTATTCCCTGAAGGCTTTGGTTAGTACACACTTGGTACTGTGCAAAAATTAGACATTTTGCAAACATAATTAGTTGACTAAAATGCAAAGAATCCATGGTCAGAGGGAAGCAGTTTTTGTCTCAATATTACCAATTCAGACTGCCACAGCTCTGACACACTAAACCACTAAAAATCAATAACTCTGAACTAAACTCAGAGTATCACGTACTTTGGGGAAAAAAAGTCAAAGTATGAACATGGAAGCTGCTTGTATATCTTATTATGATCTATATGTATATCTGTAAGATTATATAAGTTAATGTGTACAACATGTGTGCAGGTACCCTGAAGAGGCCAGAAGATATTGGATACTCTAGAATGGGAATAATATGCAGTTGTGAGCTTCCTGATGTGAATGTTGGGAACTGAATTTATATCCTCTAAAAGAGGAATGAGTGATCTTAACCAATAAATCATGTCTCTAGTCCCCACCATGCTCTGCTTTTTTGAGACAGGCTCTCATGTAGTCTAGGCTTGCCCTCAATTACTGTGGGACAGAATTACAGGTATATACCACTACATTCAATTAAGTAATATTAGTGATCAAATACAGCATTTTATGTATGGTAGGCAACCATTCAACCAACTAAACTATTTGCCCAGTCCTCTACCTGGGTTTTAGACAAGGTCTCCGTGTAGACTAGGCTGGCCTTAAAGTCCCTGGAGTTGAGAACACGATTGATACTCATGAATGCAGGGACAACAGGAGTACACTACCAAACCTGGTTTAAACAATGCTGGAGATGGAACCCAGGGTCTCATGCACACAAGGGAAGCACTCTACCAACGAAGCTACAGAGCAAGTCTAGAACTTTTTAGTGTATATGCTCTCTTGAAAACCTGTCTTGACGAATTATTTAATTTTGGTCATCAACTTTACAATTGAGAAAGACACCAAATAAGTTCAAAATGAAAATAACCCAACGCCAAGTCAGTCTTTCCATTGTGGTCTCAGCAGCTTTGCCTCAGGGCAGCAATCACCTCTAAGGAGAGGCCCAAACTCCCACCGAATAAAAAAACCACTAACTTGAGCTGTTCCATTTACACATACGATCTCCTACTCTTTAAACAACAGGCAAGAAGAGACTTGTGCCTACATATCATGTCTTGCACAAAAAATGCAATGCAGAAATACTGCTTAAAAGTGTATGTGTATATATACATATATTTATACATACACATACATACATACATACATACATACATACATAGTGAATTATTTGACACAGAAGGCAACTTCAACACTTCTAACAGCAGGCATGATTTCTCCTGGCTGTGATGAACTGGGAAGGTGTATGGTTTACTCTATTTATTTATATATTGTTTTTTAGACAGGGTTTTTCTATGTAGACTTTGCTGTCCTGCAACTCCCTCCGTAGACTAGGCTGGCCTCCAACTCACAGACATCTGCCTGCCTCTTCCTCACAAGGACTTGGATTACCTATACTGCCCAGCTGAGTTGCTCTTTTCCATGTTATGATGAATCATCAGAGAGAATCGAATTAAACAAAGGAGGGCTTAGTCTGGACCACAGTTTGAAGAAGGGAAGGTGGCAGGAGTCAGGAGTTGCTTCTCATGGGCTGGGCGGCAGTGGCACACACCTTAATCCCAGCACTCAGGAGACAGAGAGAGATGGATTTCTGTGAGTTCGAGGACAACCTGGTCCAGAGTTCCAGTACAGCCAGAGCTGTTACACAGAGAAAGCTTGTCTTGAACCCATTCCTCGCCAAAGGATAAAGAAGTTGCTCATCACATTGTATCATCAGTCATGAAGCTGAGAGAATACAGGAAGTACGAGGGACTTAAAAATCACCAAGGCCTGTCCTTAATAACTCTCTTCCTCTACAGCAGGACTTTGCTTCCTAAAGGTTCCATCATTACCACCAGCTGTAAATCAAGTGTTCAAACTTGTGGGCTGTGGGGAACATTTCACATTCAAACTGGAGCAGTTTCCTGACAGGGTCCACACCCACCTAAGAAAGCACACCACACAGCATTTCTAAAGCAATGTTTCCTCATCTTGGTGCTTCCTACAAGCTCAGGGGAACAAATCACCACGAACAGAATGCTAAGTACATGACCCACACTTACAAACCTTGTTGCAAGGCTAACAAGATCTCTGTGGTTAACCTCTTACAGAGGACCTGAGTCCACTTCCCAGCACCCACCATCAGGTGACTCATATGCCACCTGTAAATCCTGCTACAATAGAAACAACACCCCCTTCTGGTCTTCCTGGGCATCACTATACCTGTGAAATATGTGTATGCGTGCGTGCGCGCACGCACACACACACACACATATATCTCAATTAAAGGGTAAACAATCAGTAACAAAACCATCCTGTGTTCTTGATTCTATAAGCAAACAAGAGAGGGGGTGGGAGAGAGAGAGAGTTCAAATCACCCACTGTGATCATAGAGACACCTTTTACTAGAGACTGACCATGTGACAATATCACCTATTTTCTGCACCCCCGCCTCTTATTACAGCAGGTAAAGAAAGAAACCAAGTTAGGTTTCTACCAACCTGGAGTCCTGCCTCTAGGAAACAAACTCATTTTAGGATGAATGACAGAGATATAAGGGGATTTGTTGATCTCATTCACCCTGCCTCCCGAAAATGTTTTATCCCAGAAAAAGGATCACTCCAAACCGAGCTTCCCACCCCCATACACACATCATTGTATTGTATACCAAAGCAAATTACATCCTTGAGGTCTAAGCAAGCTCTGATATGCTCATTTTGCATATATATTGTGCATTACTTGGGGAGCGGGTGGAAAGAAGGGCTTTGTTGTGCGTGTTTGCTCTGGCCATTGTTTATGCAGGTCTGACTGAATGAGGGAACAGTGGGTATCATTTCAATTTCTGATGTCAACATCAAATTACTTATTTAATTTCATGCCTGGTGAAGCATTGTATAGCTACACGCGGAATCATTTCAGTTCATTTGTTATGCTGTGCTTTCGCAGCGATTGGCTTGCCTTACAACTGACAGCTTTAATTACGACATGAATTTGATTGCACTGCTGAGGAATTAACATAATGCAACAAAGCATTTAAGCACCCTGCCTTATCACCCAGCTTCCACACACATGGGTACACACACACACTGATAGACACGAAAAACAAGAGATGCTGGAACCTCCTGTGTATGAAAGGTGCAGTGGAGTGAGCTTCAGGGTCTGGAAGGAGAACACATAGAATCTTAGCACCAAAAGTTATCTACAATTACCAAGGAACTGAGCATATCAGTTTAATGAATATTGTATCACTTCTTTGTATTTATTTATGAATAACAAGGACTCATATATTCCAAGCTGGTCCGGAAATTGTCGTATGGCTGATTATCTTGAAACTTTTTTAATTCAAGTTTTATTGTAAAATTCTCTGTCTGGATTTATGAATAACAAGAACTCATATATTCCAATCTGACCTGGAAATTGTTGTACGTACGACTGATTATCTTGAAATTTTTTTTAATTCAAGTTTTATTGTAAAATTCTCTGTCTGTGTGTGGGGGGGGGTGGCTGTGAGTGAGTGTAAGGGTGCCGGCGCCGCGGGTGTACAGTGCCCAGAGAGGTCAGAAGAGGGCATCTCCTGGAGCAGGAGTTACAGGTAGTTATGAGTTACCCAAAGTGGGTGCTGGAAATTTAACTCAGGTGCCCTGTGAGAGTAGCAAGTGTACTTAACAGCTGAGGAATCTCTCAGTTCCCTTAAACTTGTCCTGAATTTTTTAATGCACACTTGCCTGTGGGTGCATGCATACACGAGTGTGTGTGTGCGCGCGCGTGTGTGTGCTACTGTAGTCACAAGTCTCCATAACTTCGGCACTGGAAAACCAAACCCAGGTTCCCATGCTTACATGACAAACAATTTATAGACTGGGACATTTCTTAAAGTTTAGCCTCCTGCTCCTCATGCCCCTACCTCATCAATGTTGGATATCCAATCATGAAACACCCACATTAAGTTTATTCCATGCTGGGGACAGAACCTAGGGCTATGTATATAATAGGCCCAAGCTTGAATTATTAGGACTGTCAAAAGCTTTAAAGTGTATCCTTAGCAAATTGTTGCCTTCTCCCAAACAAACAGCTAAGAGAGTTATCACTGAGTCCTCTAAGAGTTTTTTTTTCACATTTCCTGAAACCTGTATATTTGTTATTTACAAAATATATTTGGGAGGTATCTTGATTCATGACTTTTTCTTGTTGTTGTTGCTGTTTTACAAGATAGGGTTTCTCTGTAACTTTGTAGCCTGTCCTGGAACTAGCTCTTGAAGACCAGGCTGGCCTTGAATTCACCTGCCTCTGCCTCCTGAGAGCTTAGATCAAAGGCATGTGCCACCAATGCCCGGCTAACTTTGTTGATTCCGTTCCTATGAAAATTTAATTCAAGTGTGACCATGTTGGAACACGGTGCTTGCAGTGTCTTAAATCTTTCTTCTGGGACATGGCCACTCAT